GAACTCAAGTGAGCCCCGTCATTCCTTTTTAAACTCTTCATGTATTTACCTAAGTCCCTAAACCTAAATCTCTACACTATTCTAAACTGCCAGTCCACTGCATGCAAACGTGGGACTGCAGTTACCAGAGGTATCTACGTACCACACGGATTGCAACTTGGATTTCTACCGACTAAGATTATATATATTTTTACCTAAATCCCTAAACCTATGGACACTTATTCACTTTCCCTAACGTTGAATTCAGTGTGAGTATGTGCTTATACTTTACATGTGATCAACAGGAAATTTTCAAATTTAGTTTTAATTTTAATGGTCTTATAACGACCTTATTCAGTCAATGGACAGAGACGAATTCTGCAGTTGACAACAAATCTTTTTAGAAGTATCCAATCACAGACATTTTATTCATTTAGAACAAAAGGTTGTCTGCTCACCTGATTCTGTTTGCGCGCCTGTTGTCAATGCTGAACCACGCCGCCGGTCCTTTCGGCTCGGTCCGGAAAACGGACGTCCCCGTCTTTCTTTGTCCAGGTCAGCAAATCACGTCGGGGTCACCAAATTGTAAGAATACGTGTTCGAGATTTGGAGCCTGGTCGGGGTTATCAAAAATTCAGCCGAATAACTTCTCTCGTTCTGGAAAATTTATTTGTCAGATCACAGGTCAAGTATCAGCGCTGCGTTTGCAAAGGCAGGAGCAGTTCAGGCAGCACACAGGCCGGAAGAACAACTAACTAACATCAGCAAGAACATCATGTTTTATAACCCTTGAAAGACAGAGAAGGAAATATTTCTATTGGCCCTAAACTGGCGTAGAGGAGGACCTTCCACCTCCCGCATCTAAGATCCGGTCACATCCAATGTCCAGACTCCTGACTTAACGTAAACATCGTAAACAGAGTGTGTATGTTGAATAGTGTTGGTGTGTCTCTAACCCCCCTTTGGCTGGTAAATCTTCTAGTTGACCCGCAGACCTTACATTCCTCAGCCAGGACATAAACTGACTCCCCATCCTGTCGGACTCGTGTCTGCCTGCTTGGCAGATCCTGCTTCCCCCTTACCTAACTCTTAAATCAAGACAAGACAGCAAACCCCCAACTAAGCCCATGAAAATAACTTTTGATTATCACTACTGGCTTTGCCTTAATGGAGCGCAGTGGAACAGCTTCTGGGTAGCGTGTAGCGGCACACATAATGGTCAACAGGAATCGATGCCCAGATTTTGTTTTTGGCAAAGGCCCTACACAATCTAAAATTATGCTTAGATTATGCGTGGGGAGTAAGGGCTCCCCTGTGACCGGAATTGGATGGAGTGGAGCAGGTGGAATAACCAGGTTAGGTTCACCTGCCACCTGGCAGCGATGGCATGAACGGCAGTGCTTCACCACGTCAGACTTTAGACCAGGCCAAAAAAAATAGCGCAGGATACGATGGTAACTTTTTTTAATTCCTAAGTGACCAGCAAAGTCATGATCATGCCCCAACATCAAAATATGCTGCCTAAATTTAGCAGGAACCACTAACTGACACAGTATTCCATCCCAAATCTTGACTGTGAGTTGGAGTCAATTTCCGCATCAGTAGGCCATTATCCCAATAGTAATCCACAGATCTACTCACTAGGTCCCCCTTCCCCGCAGCAGTAGCACAGCACCTGGACAATGGTTTCGAAACTACCTCTGGATCAGTGTTAATTGCGTCGACGAAAACTATGACGAAAAATTTTCGTTAACGACCTATTTTTCCATGACTAAGACGAGACTAAGACGTGACAAAAACAATCTTAAAAAATAAAAACTATGACTAAATCTATTCTAACTTTCGTTAATGAGACGAGACGAACATGTTGGTGGTTGACGAAGTCACAATCATTTTCCCCCCTAAATTCGCACGCAGCTAACTGACAACAAACAGGAAAAGTACGGCGGATATTAACGTGTCATGATGACGTCATCCACGAACCCAGAACGCTCGCTCACATCTGTGCAGCGGTGGTTCTTGTGCACCGACTACCGACCGCAACGACTATTTTACGCTTCGGCGAGTTTGAATGTGGCTTCGTTAGTTTAGCTCAGCTGTCTCGGTTTAGCTGACTGTTAGCAGGCTGAAGCCGCAGTGCTTCAGAGAAACATGAAGACCCGTTTAACATTCTCTGGCGACGGCAGGCAGCGTTTCCTCAGCTGGATGAGACGGTCCGTTACAGGCTTCTCCAAACACGTAACGTAATAAACTCATTGCAGGTTCTGAAGCCTCACGCATTTCAACTATAGTTCACACGCCACATCGTGAGAAGACGGTGTCAAACCGTCTCGGCCACCGTACGTTCTTACTAAGCAACATAGAGGCGCGCACACACGTGACAGGTGACCGTGTCAAAAGCATTACGCATTACGCAAAAGCATTAAGTAAACAGAAAATACATATAAGACCGACTCTTACGCACAGCACTGCAACCCTGGTCCCTGAATAGTACCACAAAACTAATTAACTAACTAAGCCTCAAATATCTTCGGCGCGTACCAATTAGAGTCTCCCCCGGATTAACGCCAATAAACCCCCACCAAATAATCAAAACGCTAAACTTACGTTCCCTGCTAGGGTCCGGCAACATAACAAAACAAATGGGATGGAAAATAAGGAACGTTGGAGCCGATAGTAAATAATTTATTGTTCTTGGCATGGTGGCAGCCACATGCTTCCTTCTCTTTTTCCCCGACCCCCCTCTAGTTGATGTGCTTTAAAGTGGCCGGCCCTGATGGTCCACCCAATCCAGATGGATCCCCAATAAAGTTGCTAGGCTGCCTGCAAAACACGATGTAACACATCTCACTAGTGTGCGTAAGAGCATCTTACTAGTGGACGTAAGAGCATCTTAGTAGTGAAAGTAAGAGCATCTCACTAGTGTGCGTAAGAGCATCTTACTATTGTGCGTAAGAGCATCTGACTAGTGTGCGTAGGAGCATCTTATTAGTGAACAGAATGTCCTGCTTATCCCTCGGCGACACCATGGGGATGTATAATATTAGCCTGAAGTGAAATCATCATGTAACTATTGATAGTTTCCTTTTAATCCTAACCTGAAGTTGACCAAAAGAAGTCTTGTGATGGAAATCTGCTCATTTATGGTATTTTGAGAGGCTTTAATTTTGGAATAGTAAATAAGACTATCCTGTTTATCACAAGGTGACACCTTGGGGATGTGTATTATCATTCTGAAGTGAAATAATCATGTAACTATTGATAGTTTCATTTTAATTGTAATCTTATATTGACCTGAAGTAGTCTTGTGAATTACACTTTGAAGGAAGTTGGCTCATGTATGGTCATTTAAGGGGCTTTAATTTTGGAATGGTGCATCAGAATGTCCTGGTTATCGCTGAGTGACACCTTGGGGATGGGTCCTATCCATCTGAAGTGAAATGATCATGTAACTATTGATAGTTTCCTTATAATTCTAAACTGAAATTGACAAGAGTTTGGCAGGGGAGTGCCCTAAGACCTTATTAATGTTAAAGATGAAATTTGCAAAGTGGGATTCCTGGCGTCGCTCCACGCGGTTAACGACAACTGACTCTTGTACGCTTTGTCCAATGGCCACAGGAGTTCTTCTCTGCGTTTCTAGCCGTCTGGCCGGTGCCCCGACGTGCAGAGTTGCGAGGACCCGTCCAACGCTGCTCGCAGCTTTAATATATTATTATTCTCTCGTGCAACGATTGCCTTTTTAGGGACTTCACATACATATCAAAACTAGTAAAAAAGTTCATAATTTGGGGGTCTCGTATTTGCCCTGGTTTACTGAGTTACTGTTAATGTTAGCACAGACGTAAGTAGTATATTATACCAGGATGATAACTATTTTTTGCAGACTTGATACAATGGTGAAAATAGAAGATAGAAGGGAAAAACTATTCCTCCGGGAAAATGTTCAGAACATGAGTGTGACACTAAGACTGTCTCTACACTCATCTTAATCCTCTCAGAGAAAGCCTTGTCAGGGTTCAGATTGAGGCTCGAGCTAGTACATGACTGAAAATAGTAAACATAATAAGCTTAGCACAGGATTCTGTGGATGGTGGTTCTATCTGATGGTGGTTGCCCCTGCAGTGGTCCTGCTGTGCGCCTGGCTTACTACTCACAATTACTTGAATCATTTCTGTCATAGGAATTGCATGATTATACATTGTTCATTCTGTACACATGGCATCCATTGTAGTCTGTCCATCCCGGGAGTGGGATCCCTCCTCTGACGTTCTCCCTAAGGTTTCTTCCCTTTTTTCCCTCTTGTAAGTTTTTTTTTTCATTTTTTGGGGAGTTTTTCCTGTGCCGATGGTGGGTTTCGGGGCAGAGGATGTTGTATGTGTACAGACTGTAAAGCCCTCTGAGGCAAATTTGTAATTTGCGATTTTGGGCTATACAAAATAAAATGACTTGACTTGACTTGACTTAGATCCTCATTTCCTGTGTTTACTATATTGCAAGACACAACTCAATCTTTGATAACGTAATTAACCTCTCCCAGGATCAATAACCCGAGAGCACAGCGCTGATAAGACATCGAGACATGACACAGAGAGAGACTGAGAGTAAGAGAAAAAGAGACAGACAGATGGAGAGTGAGAGAGATATAATGAGAAAGAGAGAGACAGAAACAGAGAGAGACCCAAAGATAGAGAGACAGAAAGAGACAGATTACAACAGACACCTGGCTCCATCAACATTATGCTCTAATGATGTACTGAGAACAAATGGATGCTTGATAAATATATTTCTTTTTATGGGGCGCCATAAAATTCCAGTGACTGAAATCTCGACAGGAAATAATTAATCTACTGTTGACAAATTATAGGGTACATTAAATGTAATGCTATCATCCAATGTTACTGCCTTCTAATTTCCTCAGGAGCATTTGTGAGTAGTAGACTAATAAAGCATGATAATTGAAATCAACATGCCCTCAGAAAGGATGTGTTAAAATCATACACACTTCTTGTGTTAGTACGAATTCAACACACGTTGTGTTGAATTATCCATTGTTTGTGTTAAAATTACACAAATATTTCACAGGAGTCACTAACACATCATGTGTTAAATAATTGTTCAATTGAGTTGCGCGCTGCAACTGCTTTGCGTCACAAACACGACTCCACACTCCAGTCCAGCAGGTGGCGGTACTGCGCCAATAAGCTGGTTTGTCAACTGCCACTCGACAGAAGAAGTTGATGTACGTTCGTTCCTATGACTGACAGTGAATTGCTGAGTCAAGGAAAAACGAAGACGGCTAACGGTAAGTTAGTCAATACGATTAATGCTGTTGAAATGTGTTTGTGAAATGTAGAGAGTTTTCGAAAATGGAAAACCGTAATGACTTAACAAATAACTAACGTTAGTAAATAACTTTAGCGACAACATTAATGTTAAACGTCAATATATTGTTACTGCTATCTACGTATTGGCGCTACGTTACTAGCTAACGTTAGCTAGTGTCCTGTGTTTCTGTTGCCTATGAAATATGGACTGAGCTGAAGTTATATTATAATATGGGTCTATATCGTATCTGATGCAGTTAACGTTGCGTGATGGATGCTGTCCAGAGTCAAAGTCGGCTCACGGCCCGCCAGCCAGCGTTCTTTTTAAATTAAATGTGATATTGAGCTAACGTTAAGTGCTGCTAATGCTAACACATTAATAGTTCAGTAATGTCGCCGACATATATTCAGTTACTCCAAAAGTTGACTTAACAAAAACAATGTTTCTGGTTTGACCGCTATATATATTTATGTATATACGGTTATGCGGGTTAGTGTTCTGTTTTCAAAAGAATTAATGTTAGCAGTCAAGTGCTATAGGCGGGAAAATGAATAGTTGAGGCGGTGTGGGGGAGGGGTAGTTTAGACTTTCAGGAGGGGGAGCGCCCTCCGAAACACTGGTATGTCCCATTTGTTAAAAAAATACTATTTCTGTGCACTTTCTCAATTGAAGGCCAAGGGCAATTTGTTCATAGTTAATCCAATTCACCAACAGCCGTTTTGTTCTTTTACAGCATTCAAATGGAAGGGAGTGAGGCTCCCAAGACATTAACAACAGTGTTCCTAGATGGGACAGAGATATGCAAGAAGATGCTTCAACTACCCTCTATTGCAGACATTCTTGATGCCTGCAAAAGTTCATTAACTTGCAATGCAGAATGTGATAGACTTCTAAAATTTAACACAGATTTTAATGAATACATTGACACGGACATCAATGGCAATGTCGGAAACTTAGACAAATATCACATTTTGTTCAAACAGAACAGAATTTGGATAAAAGCTTAATAACAGTCTTCCCATCACTGAAGATCAAGATCCAAGAAGAGAATGAAGGATTTGTAAGTATAAACTAATTTGGTCTGACAGTAAAATACCTTTTGCATTATATTTGCTCAAACTTATTGGCCACCTAGTTGTAAAGCCACTGTGTTTGAGATTTTGCACACCTTGATGGCCTTGCACACCTTGGTTTTAGAGAGTGACCCAAATGTTTTTGATGCAACAGAATTTAGGATTTGATTAGGGTTACTAATCATTGGGTATTAAAACCCAATTACTAATCATTGGGTATTAAAACCCATGATTAGTAAATTGGTATTGGGTAACAAATATATTGTCTGAAATATAAGTTCATATTAAGGCAAGAATAGCATGGGACTCTCATGAAGAATTGTGGAGTCATCCTTTCATTAAAAAAAATCCCTTTTTATTTATCTGCATCCAGGAGCACTTTTATGACCCGGTGTCTCATTGTGGGTTCATCGAAATGAAACTGAGAAACCTACGGAGAACCCTCCATGATGATCAGCGACTGTATCGCAAGCGTGGCAGGTCTAGTAATCCCTCTGGAGTTAGTATAACACTGGAAGTGATTGCAGATGGGGAAGAAGAGTCCATCAAGGAGTGGATAACCTCTACCAAAAGGATGAGACCATCTCCTGAGAACATTGCATCTATCAAAATGGGCATGGAGAAAACCTACACCAACCGAAGACTCTGGATTACAAGCAAATCGCCAACCGTGGCTGAGGTTTTCCAGCAGTACCCTCGCTTTGTGGACATGCCATACTTGGTAAGTAATCAACATATTGGATTGCAGATGCACATCTAAACTGCCATATATACCCTTTGTATGCTTTTAATGATACGTTCATCTGTGTTTCAATGCAATGTCACAGTGGAATTTAAATTGTGTAACGCAAATTGTACTCATATACTTTCCCAATACATTCCCCCGGGTGCACTGTCATTTAACATCTTTCCCATTTCATTGTCTGTGACGCACAACACTTTATGAAAATTTGTACTTTTAGCACTAGTTTTTGGATTTTGGTAGAGGGTTGTTAATATTGACCAATATATTTTGGATTGTCTTTAAAAAAAATAATAACAATCATTTTTAAATTGGTTGTTTCTCTTTTCAGTTGGATGCAGAGTTTGGAAAAATGTTCCCCGGGAAGGAAGACCTCTTCCTTCGGAAATGGGAAGGACATATTGTTCCAAAACTACTTAAAGTGGCTACACTTGAAAATGACCCCCATGTCTTGCCAGCTGGTGAGGAGAGTGATGGTAAGCTATGTTCCATGCCTATGCGATACAGTTAACACGTTCTTTTTATTTGGTGGTCACCAGGGACTATGCCATATTTTATCATAACAGGGAAATCCGAGGGCTTCTTCATGACCTTACTATATTACTAGATCTAAGTGTCATTTGAATGTGTTTAAATGTCGGATTCGCCCAGAACAACCATATGGCTCATCTTTTTCTATTGTGATTATTTGGTGGACAACTTAAGTGTCTGAGATGGCATCAGTGATCATATACAGTATATCCCTTTTTTTTTGTTCTGCTTAGAGTTCCTTTGCTTCAGAGCCCTTCAGATGCTCACACACTATTTGCCTCCTACTGCATCGGGGAGGGCTAAAGGATGGGCCAAATGCAGTGTGAAATCGGCCCTTTCGTACATCTTGGACATAAAACCGGTAAGAAAATCCCATCTCAAGTATCAGCACATGCTAATCCATCTTTTACATTGGCTAAAGGGCTATGTCTGACTTTTTCAATATATGCAATCACATGTTTGATAATCCTGTTGTTAATTATTCTGGACTACATGGTAAGGGGATGTATGCTACAGTATTACAAGTTTAGCATTGGGATTTTGACATATATTCTGAATTTTGTGTATTTGATATCAGCCCTTAAGAGCCCTATTTGTTATACATGTTCTTTCCTAGACTGGAACAAGCATACCAAGCCTTCTAGAGGGATCTCCTGAGGAAGCAGTGGGAGTCCACCAGCCCAAGCTGGTGTGTTTAGGGCACCCAGGACAGTTGCTCAGTACGTCATCATTGCAAAGAACGACAATGTCGCCATCCGCCTTCAAGACGAAGGTTTGACATGTGCCATTGACAAACTGTTCAAAGTTTTCTGGGTTTGCAACATGGCATATCCTGCCCAACTCGAATCAGTCTACAGTTTCTTTGAGTATGTTTATGACATGCCCATCTCAGGTGGGAAGAGATCAAAAGTTGTGGAACTTATTGCAAAGCTCCAGGCAGTATTGTTGTAAGTTGTACCACCATGTACAGTTGTCCCAAATGCAAGAAATCCATTTCGAAACAAGTCAGGACACTTATTAGACATCTTAGGCAAGTTCATGCAATTTCAGATGGACAGGATTATACAATTGTAGTCAGAACCACTGTCAAAGAACTTACCATAACTTTAATTCTTATGCCAGACATATAAACAGGGAACACACTCAGGTTGCAAACCCAGTAAATTTGGAACAAATGGTCAATTTTGGTAATGGGTCGGAAGATGTTTCTACGTCATGCTCCAACGCAATGAAAACTCCACAAACAGATTCGGAAACTTCAATGGATTGTCATGTTTCAGACCATCGTGAGACTGCAGCTTCCTTTGTTGCCAAAATGTACTGTGCATCAAATTCCACCCTAACCGATGTGCAAAAAAGCATTGCTTGCACTAAAGAGCTACTGGAAAAGACATTGGACGATTTAAAGGATAAAACTGCATCTGTAATTGATAGCTACTCTTTGTCAAATCTTTAATGCAGGATTTTGAAAATGCACGAAACATGTTTTCCGAGGTGGATACTCGGAATATATGAAAATATAATAAATAAATATTTTTCTGAAAAACACTCTCTTGTGAAGCCCACAGAAATTTTCTTAGGGTACAGAGGCGACACGGCAAGAAAGCAGGGGAAATTGAAGTACTGGCTGCAGACACTTGCCAGTATATCCCCATTATTGACACCATAAAGTTTCTCTTTAAAAGTGAAAAGATGCAGAGACTCTCTCAGCAATCTAAAAAAGGTGTTGATGGTAAAATGCATGATTATTGTGATGGCACACAGTTTACACATCATGCATTATACAATAGATATCCTAATGCCCTACAAATCCAACTTTATTTTGATGACTTGGAAACGACTAATCCTTTAGGTTCAAAAACCAAAGTTCACAAAATGGGAGCAGTTTACTTTTGCTTGAGAAACTTGCCCGTGCAATTCAACTCATCCCTTGCAAACATTCACCTTTGTCTACTCTTCAATGCTATGCTATAGACAGAGAGTATGTAGTAGAGGTATATGGCTTTGGCAAAATACTAGAGCCTTTGTTGGATGACATTCAATTTCTTGAAACAAGGGATAGAGGTTGAGTTGTTTAATTTGATGTATTTACTGCATTTTGTCTATAAAAATGTTAGTTTGCAGTGGTCATTTGGGAAAAACAAATATGTGAACATCTGTCAAATGTTTTAATATGAAATTAATCAAATAAAATTGTGACCTAAATGTCTTAGTTGTTTATTGTGAGTGTTTTAGAGCATATTTACCATGAAAAAATTGCATTTTAAGAATGCTTTTTAGAAAAAGTATAAATCTTATTTTTAACACATCTTTTGTGTTAAATTAACACATCTTTTGGGTTATTTTAACACATTGTTATGTTGAAATATAGAACACACAACGTGTGTTAAATGTTCTGACACACTGGCTGTGTTAAAAGCAACACAGAATGTGTTGTCCTTAACTAGACACACAGATGTGTTAAAAATTAACACATGATGTGTTATTTTTAACACATCTGTTTTGAGAGTGTGGAACATTCCCCAGAGAGGACTTGTACGGGGTAAAAAGATGGTGTTGCGTGCAGTATCTGGCCGAGCAGTCCTGGAGTCGGTGGAAACGTGAGTATCTCACAACATTATTGCAAGACAGTGCTGGCATACACCAATGAGAAATCTGTGTGTCGGTGACATAGTGATTGACATTGATGAACTGCTGCCCAGAGGTGAATGGAGACTCGCGAGCGTCTTAGAGACTGTCAGTAGTAAAGACGGACTTGTAAGGAGAGTGAAAATCTCAGTGGGAAATAAGAGACTGAACAAGAAGTAGAAGAAGAAGAAGAAATCTCTCCGTAATGGCGCGCCGGGTGCAGAAGTTAGTTCTGTTAGTGGCGGCTTCTTAAGGTCCTGATTACAAAAGTTCATTGAAGTTCTTAATTTGAAATTATTCATAGTTCATATGGTGTTATATGTAATATTCATAATTTGGTCGGAGTGTAACTAACCCAGCCTGTGAGTATTGAAGAATGTTTTGCATTTTTTCTTTATTACATGTCTTTTGGTTGATTTTGTTGTGCATTTCCTGTTTGATGCTTTTATTTTGAAGGCCGGGCTTGGGTAAAAAACGGAAGTCAACGGTGGGAAAAAGACCGCGAAAGGAAAAAGGAACGAAAAAAAACGGAGATCAGTTAACGGACGGCTATGGTATTAGTGCCCGCCCCTACACCCCCGAAAGGCCCTTTCAGAAAAGCTCTTACGGTTATTTGATTAAATTGTACAATCAAGCAGTAAGGCGTCAGACCATATGTCGGGAGGGATATGCTACAGTAATAATAAAGCTAACGTTGGAAGCCAACATCCCTGACTGATAAAGACAGCGCAGCAAAGCCTCAACTAGCTAATGAATAACCTTACGTTTTTCCTGTTCTTGTACCAAATGAACTCAAGAGCACACTGGCGACCAGCACTTTGTTTGCTGAACACTAAGCTAACCTATTTAACGTTAGTATATTAGCAACTAGAATCATCAATAGAAACACAGGCCCCAGTCGGAGCGTGTGGACTGGGTCATGGCAAGGACACAAGACACGACGAGCTCCACTGAGACAGCGTCACTACCGCACACATACAGCGTTCATGAGAGGAAGTATTATTGATAAGAAGCCAACATCCTGTGAGATGCCAGTAGTAGTGAAACATGTTGTAAACATTTGTCCGGTGCTAAAAGCCAGGTCTCAGTGGTTGACCCTGAGATGGAGAGATAGAAAGATTTAGGGTTTGCAGCTGGGTTTGGGGAAGGGGGTCATCTTGCTCTCACAGACCTTCGATCAGAGGAGCATTGTGTGTTACCCTCAGCTTCACCTGAGTTCTTATCTCAACTTGATTTGTGGCTTTTCGTAACTGGCGCTAAGAACTGTCTCCAAGTGTATAAAAACTCCGCGTTTACGCTGGAATACGTGCTGGTATGTTGGACCTCCTGCTTGCAAGCAATAGTTAGAGCCAGATATCTGCAGAGAATTGCTCATGTAATCTTTTTCTCTTCTAAATAAATGTTAACTTTTTGACTTTAATTGATCGACGTGTTGCGATCCTTCTCATCAACCAACTCGGGGGGATCGGAGATCCCGACAATCCTTTGACTAAAACGTCAACACGTTTAATAGTTGTGCGTGCAATTGTACGTGATAGCCACACTAGCCACTAAGCTAATATTAGCTAACACTAGCAGGCGCCGCAATGTGCCATCAGCCACACAGGGTTTCCGTTTCAACTTCGCCCGGCCAGAATTTTATTAATATTTGCACAAATACCTTTACATCCCGGTTGCGTGCGGGTTAATCTCCGGACACTGGAGACAGAGAGTCGGACGGCGGCGCTGAACATGATGTGGGGCAGCCAACTACACGACACGAACCGGTGAGATTTTGAAAGAGGAAGCCGGTTCTGGCTAGACCGTCATGTACGCGAGCCTGTTCTGCGCATGTGCAATCTGCAGCGCTTCATCATATGTCATCATATGTTTGCAATGAAGTGCCATGCCTATGAAAAATGTTCCATATATGTTATTTTAGTAGGATATGCCCCAAATTAAAAACAGGGTCAACAAGCCCATACATACATTATCATTTTCAGTGAAAAGTTCAGTAGCCAAAGCATATTTCTATATGAAGACTTAGCATTACTTTAGAATCAAATGTACTAGAATTATCTTACCTGTGATCCCGATAGTTAGTAGCGCACACACACACCAGGGCCTACAGGAATGTTCAACATATAATATCAGGATGAAAATGAGAGAATCTGAGTAAGTGTGCTGGGTACTACTTTTTTTCATTGTACTGTGTTGAATTTAGGGGTTGTTGATCAAAAGGTTAAAATCAAATGTATTTAATAAAAGAGATGGTGTTGTGGTAAAAAGAACATCTCAGCTGAGGAGCCGCTGGTCTCAGCAACCAATAGGCCCCAGGTCAGCCCTTTTGACCATCCCTAGTGCCCGTCTGTAGCCTCCACCAGCGAACTCGAGAACAATGGTTCCTACAGGTATTTATAACAATGCTTAAAGGTGTGAAAGTTAGTGTCCACACCTCTGGGAGTGGTCTTCTGGTGAGTTCAATGTAACTTGGATTTCCAATGACCCTTAGTCAATATCAGTTGTTGTTTTACATGCATGCATTCCAGTTGATTACATTACATCAAATTACAAAAAATCACAACTGCATTGGTATTATTCTATTACAGTTGCAGAATTACAGTGGTTTTACAATATTGTCATTACTTTATTGATTACACAGTTTGTAAGAATACGTGTTCAAGATTTGGAGCCTGGTCGGGGTTATCAAAAATTCAGCCGAACGACTTCTCTCGTTCTGGGAAATGTATTTGTCAGATCACAGGTCAAGTATCAGCGCTGCGTTTGCAAAGGCAGGAGCAGTTCAGGCAGCACACAGGCCAGAAGAACAACTCCTAACATCAGCAAGAACATCATGTTTTATAACCCTTGAAAGACAGAGAAGGAAAGATTTCTATTGGCCCTAAACTGGCGTAGAGGAGGACCTTCCACCTCCCACATCTAAAGATCCGGTCACATCCAATGTCCAGACTCCTGACTTAACGTAAACATCAGCGAACAGAGTGTGTATGTTGAATAGTGTTGGTGTGTCTCTAACCCCCTTTGGCTGGTAAATCTTCTAGTTGACCCGCAGACCTTGCATTCCTCAGCCGGGACATAAACTGACTCCCCATCTTGTCAGACTCGTGTCTGCCTGCTTGGCACATCCTGCTTCCCCCCTTACCTAACTCTTAAATCAAGACAAGACAGCAAACCCCCAACTAAGCCCATGAAAAGAACTTTTGATTATCAAGTTTCAGAATCATGGGTGTATTCTGGTGTACACTTTATGCATTTTTAATAATTTTATGAACCGGGTCGTCAATTTGTTTCTAATATCCTACAATCCATTCCTTTACACCAATTTTGGTGTAAAAACTAAACAGGTGGATCGGTTCATCAAATTCCTCAGTTTTGTCTTCTCTACTTTGTTTAGCATAACGTTCGATCCAATATGAAACTAGCCCAGTTAAAAGTTTGACACATACTTATAGTTTAACACACACAAATATGTTAGCACCTCTTGTGAACTGACAATAGACGCTTCCACGTATCTTGTGAAAGTGTTATACTGCAAGGAAACAAAACGAGGTGCAGCAGTCGCCCTTTGACATTTAAAGATTTGTAGGACAAATGGCCACTACACGGATTCCCTTTTTACCCCGTATGTGGTTTGGAGATTATCGTCCTGTCCAAGCTCTTCCTGAAAGCTGTTGTGTTCATCAACCCTCCTTAATTCAAAATCATTAACTTCATTATTTGCAATTTGGCCCCAACTCATCAAACAAAACCGGCAGAACTTGTGAACAATAAAACTTTCAAAAAAGCCTGCAAGAAGAGGTTATCTGCGCACACACAAAATATAGTACCCTTAAAAAACTGATCGAAAACTTCAACCAAAATTCCCTCTTGTTTAAGACATCTTATATCTTTAATCTCGGTTCAAGAAACTTTTCATAACCATATTGCTTGACATCGACACTTTTACCCAAGACAGCTAGCTGAATTGAAGGAAGACTTGACCGGCACCTGGCTGGTAAATGTAGAACAACCCAATGTACTGCAGTTATCTTTCGAAGTTTTCTAGAGGTGCTAAGCGGGTTACAAACTTCAAATTCATCGATATAGAAATCCAAACTGATACATTTGTTTTGCTCTCCCAGTAGCTTATTTTCTCTGTAGTACTTGCCGTCTTGGAAAGACCTAAGGTGCCCTGATAAAGCTTCTTCTTCAAATACAATTTGGTCTAAAAAGTCTGTTTGACCTAAGAAAGTCTCAGGTGCCTTAGTAACAGATATATAAACAAAAGTATTTTGATGAGCGCTGTTATACAGATATTCTATGGGTTCTATAACAGAAAATAATTCCTTGAAATATAAATTCCTTCGGTAATCTGTAGATAAGGAACCGTTCTTTGATGTTAAAAGTAGTGGATTAGTTTGAACTACAGCATTAGAAATTTCTTTCAAAATAGAATCATTTATTTCAATTCAATGATTGAAGAGGATCTCTTTGACACTGTTTAGAGTCTGACTGTTAGAAAAAGACAGCAGATTATGCAAATCCTCTACAATCTTTTCTGTTGCAGCTCTAGAAGCATGTACAGTAATCCCTCGTTTATCGCGGGGGTTACGTTCCGAAAATGACCCGCGATAAGTGAAATCCGCGAAATAGAAAACTTTTTTTTTTTTTACAATTAGCAACTATTACATGTATACAAATACAGTGACTCGCGTGTAGGCCGTTTCACTGCTCTTCAGACTGGGCCGCTGCATCCTGACTGCGCTCTGCAGTGTTCTCTTCTTCTGAAGCCCGCGGTGCAGGTGTGTTTGTTCGGGAGAAGAACATAGTGATAGGCAGCTGTTGTCGCTCTTTTTTCTTCTTTGCAAAAAGATCCTTGTACACCGACATGCCACCATCGATTATGTTGGAGAACTGTAATGAACGGCTCGGGAGTGAGTTTTTAGCGAATCAGAATGCAGAGCACAATGCACCAAAAAAAAAAAAAATGCAATATGAAAATCCGCGAAATAGCGAATCCGCGATAAGTGAACCGCGAAGTGGCGAGGGGTCACTGTAACACTGTTTGCATATATAGAAAGGGAGAGGCCAATTTGTGTTGAAGTGTCTCACTATCCACGTCTTCCACAATCTCTTTAACCTCGTCTGGTCTCATAGTGTCCTGGGATGATGTTCTTGCTTCAATATCAGATTGTTCACCATAATTTGCTTCATCTTCAGTGTTGGCTCTTGCTATTGTTCAAAAATCCTTAGACATGCAGTTTTTATGTCTACTTCTGTGAGAACTGAAAGTTGGGCGAGTGTTGGTTTTAAAGGAAGTTTCTTGATTCTTTAAATGACGTCCAAGATGGTTCCAATACGTTTTTTCACTGCAGATCTCCGACAATCCGACAATTCTCAGCGAAATGTAGAATTTTCAAAGACTGAGTGGGAGGACCTAGAAGAATTGGGCAACCCACAGGGTGTGGAATGTATAAAAAAGTTCCACTTATTAAATAGTCTCCACGAAAAAGTCAAGAAGGATCTAGTTCTATCTAGCTGTGAATCTGCCAACGATATGTTCAGGCTGCTGGACAGCAAATACGGGAACAAAGCGAAAATAGTCCTAATGATCACCAACGAGGTCCAATCTCTTCCCCCCGTCAAAGGAAACAATCCAAGAAGAACCATTGAATTGATCCAGGCTGTGGAAAGGGCTCTGTGCAAACTCCAGATTCTTGGTGAAGAGGACGCTGTGAAGAACCGTGTTGTTGCTCATTCTCTTGAAAGCAATCTTCCAAGTTCACTCAAGAAGGAGTGGATTATCCACAAAACTGACCACAGCAGGTCAGAAGGATGACTATCCCAGCTGTACTGTCTGTGGAGATGACTGCCATGGCGGCAAGCTATTTTCCTGCAAGGTCTTCAGAGAGCAAGATCTCTTAACAAAAAGGGCCCATTTGAAGAAACTAGGGTTGTGTTCTAAGTGTTTGCGTTCCCATCCCAAGGATGGGAAAGGATGCTCACCCAGATACCTCTGCCCAAAGGGAGACTGTCGCCAAGGAGGGGTGTCGGACCACAATTACCTCCTGTGTCCTAAACCACTGACTCCAAAGAAGGACAGCAGTAGTAAGGAGCAGAGCACCATAACATCTGGAGGAAAGAAACTTGGACTAACCAACAAACAAGGGGAGTTTCTGGCAGAGCTTACTCCAGAACAAAGGGAGAAATACAAGAATGCGTTCTTAAATAGAATATCATCAACTGCATGCGCCAAGGCTGGAGAGGGACTGCAAGAACATCCAGTGGTGATGATGCTGATGGAAGTGACACAAACTCTGGTTGCCTTGTTGGCTCCCTAATCGACCTCGCATCCGACACTAATTATATCACAAATGAAACAGCTGATCGCTTTGGACTCTGCGGTGAGAACATCAGACTTATAGTCCATGGAGTCCATGGAGGGGGGATGAAAAAGGCTGTCTTGACGAAAAGATATTCCCTGCAGCTGAAGGTGAAGACATCCAAGGGAAAAGTGGCAGAGCATAGAATTCTTTGCTATGGCCTGAACAACATCGCGGAAGTCACTCAATCAGTCACTGCCGAGCAACTACAGATGTTCTTCCCGGATGTACCCAGAGATGAACTGGTCCGCCCCACAAAGATTGACCTCCTTATCAGTCACCGGGAAGGTCGTCTTGTTCCCCAGCCAAGATTGTGGAAGACCTCGTTCTTTGGGATGGCCTGCTAGGAAAGACTGTTGGGTGAACCCATCCCAATCTCATTGAGACAGTTGATTTGTCCGTGTACCGCTCTGAAACTCACCTAGCAAGTACCATGAGATCGGCCTCGATGGCGTGTAAAGAGACCATCATACCTCAAAGGGTCAAAGGGAGGAAAGTCATGAGTGTGTCCGGAGCACTGCAACCGCCAACAAAGAGGTCCTTGAGTGGTTCAGGTGGGACAGCATTGGAGCAGCTCAATGTGGCGGCTGCAAGTGTGGTAGGTGCCGATTCACCGATTCACTTTTCTGAAATGACCCTCAAGGAAGAGCGGGACCTGGAAAAGATAAAGGAGTGCCTAACATACGTGCTGGCGGACAAGCACAGCGACTCTCCCCACTGGGACACAGCTCATCCCTGGAAGACAGACCTCAAAACACTGCCAGACAACCGGAAGGCAGTGGAGGCAACCTTCAGAAATACTGAGAAACATCTGGAGAAGGAACCTGTGTGGAAAGCTGCTTACAAAGAACAAATACATGAAATGGTTTCAAGAGGGGCTGCTGCAAAACTCACAAAGGAGGAAATTAACAACTGGGAAGGACCTAAATGGTACATCAGCCACCTGGTTGCACCGAACCCTCACTCCCCCTCAACCCCGGTGAGAATTGAATGGAATAGTAGCCAAGAGTTCCGAGACATAAGTCTAAACGATCTCCTTCACCAGGGTCCCGAAGTACTCAATCCCATCAGAGGTGTACTTCTGAGGTTCAGGAGTGGACTCCATGCTGCACTGGGTGATATTAAGAAAATGTACAACTCAGTGTGGCTGAAAGATGATGAAGTTCACCTCCACCGCTTTCTCTGGAGAGACAAGCCAGAGGACAACATTGAGGTGTTTGCAGTTGTCAGAGTCAATATCGGTGATAAACCTGCAGGATGCATCGCCCAAGTTGCAATGAAGGAGACAGCCAATCTTCCTCAGTTTGTGGATATGGTTGAAGAACGGCAAGCTATAACCGAGGACAGCTATGTGGACGATATCCTGACCTCACACGATGACCTCAAGACGCTGGAAAGGGTCACCAAAGGGGTGGAGGAGATTTTGAAGGCAGGGGGCTTCTTCCTCAAACTGTGGGTTCTGTCAGGCCAAAGTGGGAGGAGTGGAGCCACTGCTGTCACAACTGTACCCAGGACTCTGGTACTGCCCAATCAAATGCATGATGGGGAGAACAAAGCACTTGGGGTCGGCTACGAACCTGAGACAGACAAGCTTCGGTTGCTGACTTCTATCAACTTCTCTAAGAAAAGGGAGAAAATGAGGACAGGGGTCAATCTGAGCATGGAGGGTGTCAGGGAAGGAACACCAAATCCCCTTAACCGACGCATACTACTTAGCCAGATTGCCGCATTATACGACCCAGTTGGTCTTGCCTCACCAGCCAAGCAGAAGAGGGTAATGTTGGTACGAGAATCATTCCTGGAAGCTGGCAAGGACAACCCATAAAGACACATGGGATGCCCCGCTCTCACTAAAACTTTGAGAAGCCGCAATAACGCTCTTTGAAGAATTTGTTAGACTGGGCCAGGTAAGGTTTGAGAGAAGCCATCAGGAGCCATAGGCCCACCAACAGGGATCACGTTCTCGGATTGGAAGTGAATCCTCCTATGGAGCTGTACTCCACCTGCGGTGGGAAACTCAAGACAATGTTGAAATGAAGTTGGTAGAATCCAATGCTAAACTCACCCCTCTCGACCAAAAGGGAGATGTGATCAAGGCGGAACTCTGTGGCGCGGTCTTCGCTACCCGCCTAAAAAAGTATTTTGAGAAGCACTGCCGCATTAAAGTCGACCAATGGATTCACTTTATGGACAGCCAAACAATTCTGGCAGCCTTCCAAAAAGACAGCTATTGCTTCCAGACCTTTTTCGCCAATTAAATCGGCGAGATTCAGAAAGCCGGACATGTGGAAGATTGGAGGTGGATTGAAGGCAGACTAAACATTGCTGACATGCTTACCAGAAGTGCGACTCCTGAGGAACTTAACGAAGGGTCAAGGTGGCAACGAGGCCCTGAGTTCCTGAAAGTACCTAAGACAGACTGGCCTATGAAGATGGCCAGTGAGATAACACCCGCTGCTACTGAAGATGTGGGAAAACTTCAGCGGAAAGCCTTCTCAGCAGTGGTCACCAGGGCCCAGTCGAAAAGAACTGGAACCAGCGGGCCTGACATCAAGGCGGAGATCAAGCCCGATAGACCACAAAATGTTTGTCTCCCGTCTCCAAAACCCAGAATGGGCCCTCGTAGGGCGGGCGTAGCGGTCCCCTGTGAGCGTCGTGGCGAATAAAGACGTATTAAGCCGTCTGAAGCCCAGCAGGGACGTGCGACTGAGGGAGGCCGTGACGGGGTCGTCGTGGCACAGGGCGTAGAGAGGGTGTGTTGGGAACCACAAGGTTGGTGGTTCGAGTACCAGCTGCCCCATGTCGAAGTGTCCCTGAGCAAGACACCTAACCCCTAATTGCTCCCCGGGCAAAATGTAAGAGCCATGGGTTAAAAATGTAATGTAAGTTCCTTTGGATAAAAGCGTCAGCTTTTGCTATCAAGGTACAGGCCACGTGCCCCCATCATCGCTTTGACGCACTGTAGCCAGACCGCCCGCCAGGCCCACCTGTACTGCGGCATCTACCCTGTGCTCTACACCAAACCTGCTAACGATGTCTGGGCTGAAGACGTTGACCTGCAAGTCAACTTTGCCCTGGAAGTTGGTAAGTTGTTTTGTTCCAATTTGTCTCTTAGCAGAGGATTGTGGAACTGTTATTGCGCAAGAGGTGTGGGGTTGATACGTGTTACTTAAGATCTAATTCACCAGATCCTTATATTTTGACTAATGCCTCTCTTTCCCCTATGTGTAGGAAGGCGCCACAACTTCTTCAAGTCTGGAAATGTTACCATTGTTGTGACTGGCTGGAGCCCGAGTACCGGTTACACCAACACCATGAGAGTTGTGCTGGTGCGTTGAACTTCATTAAAGGACATTGGTCATTGCTTCCCCTCCCCTCTCCTGTGACCTGCCTCCCCATTTTGGACTTTTTTTGGACACTTTTCTGAACAATGTATATTGTTATTTATTATATGCATATATATTATAATTATTAATGCATTGTTGTTCATCAATTTATTGTTTACAATATATATATATCGCCAGGCAGCTTGTGAACAGTTATCAACCAGGTGAACATAGCAGAATATTTTTGTGCCTTGACTATTTTGAATGCCGGCTTCACGCAGTTTCTCGATTTATAATCCGGCTTCATGTCTGAAACTTCATCAATTTCTAAGATTCTCCTTATGTGCCACTCTGCTTCTGAAAAGAAATCAACAGCTAAGACAAGCATCATTGACCATGATATTTTATTGCTTAGGATTCTGTTGCTAAAATAAAATATTCCTAACATACAGAGTTGGTGGGTTTCTCAGATTTGTTGGTTGAAAGGCAGCAAAATGAGAAATTAGAGAATATGAGAAATAAGTAATAGATGAGAGACTGACACCTCCTCTCCTACATGAATAGAATCAAACTAACACCCGCCTTCAACCCGAGCTGATGCCCCTGGCAGGTTGTGCGGTGGAGCGGGGTTGGAGGAGAATAGCGATGAGGAATTGATCTAGCCCATTGGCAGTGACTGATAGTATCTTTTCCCTCGATGGGAGTCACAGCATATAATTCAGGTTCAATAACCAGGCAGCCAAAGCCAGTGGACGGAATCTTCGGATGAATGGACCTGCTCGCAGCTCCTCATCGGCAACAGGTCCACAGCGTGAGAGAGAAAGGTATTGTCTAAACATGAACTTATTAACAAGAAGAAGGATTTAAGAGTCTTATTTTTAAAAATAAGTCTGTAATACACTTCTTATTGACTCAGCATAGCATCACAAACCAGCAATTGTTGGGTGTCAAATGTTACAATCAATGTAAAATGAAAGGGGTAAATATGCAGCAGTATGTGACCCTTCAGGGCTTCTCGTTAACCAAATGTCCAAGGGACCGTGTTTAGCCCGTGTTTAGCCCTTTGACTGCAAGAAACATTCAGATCGGTCCTAGTGCATTGCTGGTTACAGGATGTTTGATTATCCACAATTGCTTTTATTCCATTGAATTCCCTAGTTTTTAATCTGTTCTCACTGAAAAAATGATCTCACTCATTGATTCAAGTGCTTCTATTCAAAGTATATTTTTAAACCCATAAAAACTCCACCGATTATTGCATCCTATGTTGATGGCACAAAGTCTGTACCAAAGTTAGTCAGACTGAAATTAGTTGCCATCAGTTGTGCGTCTCGCCCTGGAGTTCAACGCATTCAAAAAATAAATGCCACTTCCCCCACTTAGACAGACAAACATTACATTACATTCATTACTTCAGTTTTTTTTAGCGTGATCTGATTTGTGTGACCCATTTGGGCATGCAATATTGCTGCAAAGCTATCTTGGAAGACATGGCGTCATCAAACCATAACATCTCTGAAACAAGCAAAGTGCACTGTCTCTTGGCTAATCTCTTAGTAACTCTGTCTTCACACGACACGCTCGGTGGTGGGTAAGGACATAAATAAGGACAATCTTTTTTGGCTTCAATCATATCTGGATACAGCTGTGGACAAATTGTCAAACTAAATGGGTGTAGCTAAAGAGGTTACACAACGTTGGCTGAATAATGGGGTTCAAACTAAATACTTACAACAGAGTTTGGCTGTAATGTAATACACAGAACAATGTATATTTTATGAGGTGCTATATATACCCACCAATAGGTTTTTCGATTGTTTTACTATATTCAAAGATGCAATATCCTGTAGAAAAAAATATCCAACATTGACCATGATTATCCCCCATCTGTGTCTAATTTAAAATGGAACCACCGATCTCTAATCTGGATAGAATAACACACCCTCCTTAAAAATGTAGTGGTTAGAACAACGCCAGTAAGAAGATGACCATTCTTCAGTTCAGGTATTAAAGGAGGGTGTGTCTGAATCTTACAACTTAGACGGGAGTTTGGACAACTTTTGTTCGGCCTCTAAGATCTCAGTGGGGGTCCTGGCCTGGGAAGAGGGAACACCAACTGACTGGTTCTGAGGTTCAGTCCCCGAATGCGTCCGACTAACGGCAACTTGACCGAGGATTTGCTCGTAGGGGTTGCTGCCAGCCACGGGTGGGGAGAAGGGGCTGGTCCCCCCTGTGACCCGTTCTGAACCACTGCTCTTGGCCAGAGGCCTTTCCTGGTGTAAAGAGCTGTGGGGGCCAGAGACCGTCTTTATTTCCCGGAGAGAGAGATCCACTGAGGACTCGGCCCTTTCTTTGAGGATACAGGCCACAGTGCTGGGGAGCTCACTGTGGTAAACTGTCTTCGCCCTCACAGGGCTCTGCATGCAAGGACTATGGACGGGAGGCGTGTAGCAGGGCGAGGCTTTGGCGGAGCCATACTGGGCCAGGGAGGCGAGGGCCGAGTGCTCGGCGAGAACCCGGGGGAGGAAAACCGACTGGATACCTCCGAGGCTTTCCTGCGCCAGGTAGGCTGCGGCACCAGATACAACTGCAGATCCTGGCGGAATAAATCCAGTGGATGTCTGAGCGCTGGTGATGAAAGGAAAATGCGCGAGGTTCAGACCACCGGCTCGGTCATGACTGTACCCCATCTGTTGCATGGGGGCATAAGAGGGCTGAGGCAGCTGGCTTAGTATGGGGCCTACTGAGCTGGAGATGAGAGGGTTTATACCGGAGGCAGAGGGGGCTGGGAATCTCACTGGCGCCCCCTGCTGGAGTAGACCTATTGGATGTGGCGGAACGGTTATGGCACCGTGTAAGGGCTGGAGCTGAGCAGAGCGGGTGTAGGAGACAGTGGTCTGGCCAATGGGGAAGACTGCGCCAATACACGAGTAGAGAGGGTGGTGCGGGAGATGGTGTGAAGGTAGAGGCTGCAGGCTGCTAGTGAAGATGGGCTGGGACGACAGTGTGGGTGACACGGGCCCTGCTGCCAGATGCTGTGCCCTGAGAGACGCCTGGGTGTGCGTCTCAATCCCTGATCGGATTTTGTTGAAACTGACCGGAGAACCGAGCCCTGAACCACAGCTACTGGACATATTTGTTCCACGGTGGACTTTCCTTGGATAACCCGTGGGGTCCTTCATGGAGCCCAGCGCCAGGGGATGGTGGAAGTGGATGGGAGGCAGCTGGGAGTGGGGGGCTAAAACCAGAGCCAGCGGGGTGGTGGCAGCTTGAATCAGTGGGGCCCAGATGACCGGGGTGGGTGATGGGGGAGCAGGGACAGGGTGAAGACTCGGTGGGCTGGTCTGGATCAGCTGCGTGCAATGGGCCATGTTGCGGTCATGTTGCACAATTCTTTGGATGATCTCGGTCTCTTGGAAGTTTAAAGTGCCAGAACTTTGGTGATGCTGGACTTTATTCTGCAGAACAGAGCTCCTCTTCCCTGTTAGAAAACCAAAAGAAAGATCATGCGATTGTATTTTTCATTAATGGGAACGTGTACTGTTATATTATGAAAATGACTACTCTTCAGCTGCCTTGAATTATTGAAGTAAATAGCGTAATTGGGATAATACGTGGCACAGCATGGCATTAAATGTCCATATATCAGTCAAAGTATTATATAAGGCAGAGCAGGATCCAAAACATAAAATGTTTCCTACTCAATTCTCCTCTAGATCGGGGGTCTTCAACGTTTTTCAGGCCAAGGACGCCCAAACTGATGGCGAGATGGAGCAGGGGCTCCCTATTGTACAGAGTGAACCGAATGAACCGGTGCCCAGCTTGGGAGAGCTCCTGTGGCGCAGCTGAATGTGTGCATTGTGGACTGAAAGATAACGTCTTCTCCACCAATTGATCCAATCGCTATAATATGTTGGATTAATGTTAATGTGTATGTAGAGACAATAAATACAATTCTGATTCTGAAGACAAAAAAAAATTGGTTGAATTTTTTTTTTTAATTGTCTTATCAACTAAAAATTTCACGACCCAGTACCTCCGCGGATCCCCTGTTGAAGACCTCTGCTTTGAATTCTGTATTAATGACTTGCATACAGAATTAATTTGATATAAATATGTCTAATATAAAATGGTTATTATCATCAGAAATCAGGAATCAGGTAACATTTATTGCCAGACATACATGGAATTTGACTTGGCGGTTGGTGCATAACAGCAGACAGTACGACAATGGACAACAAAACAACAAAAAAAAGTGCAAGAGGAATAAAATAAAATATAATGCTATGGGTTAGTAATATAAGGCGACCGGTGGAATGTCAGAGTCAGTGACTGACGATAGGAAGAAACTGTTGGTGTGGCATGAGGTCTTCGTCCTGATGGACCTCAGCCTCCTGCCAGATGGAAGGGGCACAAACAGGTTTTGTCCAGGGTGAGATGGGTCGGCCACAATCCTTTTAGCTCGCTTCAGAGTGCTGGAGGCGACCAAGTCCTAGAGAGACAGTAGATTGCAGTCGATGATCCTCTCTGCAGAGCGAATGACGCGCTGCAGCCTGCCCTTGTCCTTGTATGGCGTCAAATCACTGTCAAAATTTGAGAGCGCAAATCAGATAGATGCGTGCACGTAAATCAAACATCCGCGAGCAAATCTCCGTCTTGCGCTCGAAGGTGTTTTCTACTGCGCTCGCTGTTGTTATTTTTGTCAGTAAAGGCTGGGGCATGCTTCTGCTTCTGCGTCTGCGTCATTGCGTCGACGCACTTATTTCAATTCATGGTTCTAAAAGTCTTGCGTGTGTTGCAGAGCAATTCACCTCCAGAACAACAGGTGGAGTAACGTGTTTTTTTTGAAGACGACATAGAGAGTCACGTCTTTGTGAGTGGAAGTCGTTGGTTTGTTTATTTATTTATCATAGACTTTATTGCCCCGTGCATCGCCACTGCTGCTTTTCATCATGGACACATTTGTCCCGTACTTTCCTCCACAACTTTGTTCCCCTCGACCGGCAAACTGGCGTTTGCAGAGATCTCCCTCCATAAATCCAACCCGCTTATACAACCCGCCAATGACGGCTTGTATAAGCGGTCATATTTACGCATTTCTTCCGACTAAAGCTCTTCAATCTGATCTGATCATCAGATCAAAGCTTTTGATCATGGTGACTGGCTCTGCCCCCTTACTGTCAAAAAGAACAACAACGAGCACGTAGAAAACACCTTTGAGCGCGAGCAGAGATTCGCCTCGCGAGCGAGGAAGTTCTCGTTCCGCGAGAGAGCAGATATCTCGCGCGAGACGGAGATTTGCTCGCGGATGTTTGATTTACTGATGTTCAGCTCCCACTTGAGGTCCTAGGTGATGATGGAGCCCAGGAAATCGAAGGAATCATCAGTGGTGACGGGGGACTCACCCAGTGTGATGGGGGAAAGAGGGACTCTGTTCTTCCTAAAATCCACAAACATCTCCGCTATCTTTAGAGCGTTGAGCTCCAGGCTGCGAACTGCAGGGGATCCAGGAGGGGGTCAGTGAGGGTCTTCAGGTGGGACAGGACTGGCCGTTCAAAAGATTTCAGAGTCAGGGCGACGGGCCTGTAGTCAGTAAGTCCTGTGATCCTGGGATTGTTGGGAACAGGGATGATGGTGGAGGCTTTGAAGCAGGCTGGTATGTGGCATTCCCCAAGGAGGTGTTGAAGATGACAGATGATCACCGGAAACAGCTGGTCAGCACAATGCTTCAGCGTGCGGGGGGAGACGAAGACCGGACCGGCTGCTTTGCTGGGGGTTTGTCTTTTAAAGAGCCGGTTAACGTCTCTCTCCAAAATAGAGAGGGTCGTTACTGGTGAGGGAGGTGGGGGAAGGGAAGGTGATACAGAGGTGTGAGCCCCTGATGGAATGGAGGAGAGACAACTACATGTTGTTTTATCACACAGTTTAGTAGGTTCCTGACTGAAGAAAATCATCCATGCAAAGATTACGGATGCATTAGTTATGTAGGAATGACTAATTACTAACTTACTTGAATCAACTTTGAGAGGCATGATTAATAATATTTTCTTCGAAACATCTCATTTCATTTTCATGAACTAAAAATAAAAAAATGATCAAATCAATTAATCCTTGACTGCTCCTGACAATTTGTTACATCAGAAGAAGCACGCAAAACAAAAATCTAATTAATCATAATTAAAAGTAAAACATGAAACTTGCTCAGGCAAAGGACTCACTGATGCGGTCTAGGCGGTCAAGAGCGACGATCTCAAAGGCCCTCCTCATTATGGGATACTCCTCCAGCACCTCATCAAAGTTGTCCACTGACAGAGAGTAGAGCCGACAGTAGTTTTCTGCTCGCACACTTGCTGTCCTCCTGCCTCTGGTGAGCAGGCAGATCTCTGCAGGGAGGAGATCGGGGTAAAGTACAAGGATTTGTAACATTATTTTAAAAGACTCAGTGAAAGTATGAAACATTAGTAAGTAAGAAACAAAGTATTTTTTGAATGGATATATGAATTATTGTATAATGATTTTCTATTTCTTTCCAATGTGTGATGGGTTACATTGCAGCCAAATTTATATTTTTTAGCTGCATTCATCAAAGGAAAGGCAAATACAGTATTATTAGTGTGAAACGATTAAACATGAATAGGCTGTTGCCTCTGAAACTCACAGATGGAGCACCTAATTCAATTTCTGCAGCTTACAGTTTGTCCTGACCTCATCGGTCGTGCCAGATCAGAAAAAAATGAAATAATGCACCATTTTTAAAAAGTGGACATATTTTTTAGCACAGGCATATTGAGGATATAGACACAAACACACACAGTCTCACACGGTTTCTCTTTTAAATACATTTCTATATCAGCGTGTGTGTGTTTAGCTGTGTTAGCAAGTCTACATATTCAATATTTCATGGTTAATATATCACCAGGTTGCATTAAATTGTAAATACATACAAGTATACTTAGGAATAATTACTAGGCTTGTCAGATCACCCCGCAATAAAAGTAAGTTATACATTTATATTTCTTGATAGATATTTGATGAAATGTCCCCTTTTTACACAGTGGGTTACAGACCGTGAGGCGATGTAACGTAGGCAACAACAAATTGAATGTTCTGGATTTCAGCTTTAAATCTGCTGTTAACAGCACAAATAGAATCAAAGATCACAAAGCTTAGCCCCTCTTAGTCCAGAGACCTTTTAAGGAGATAATGTGGACAATTTTTTCCCATCTATAATAGTCAGGAAAGTTAATCTGCTGAGTGCCGAAGCAAAATAAATGATAACAAATCACACTATTGGTACTCCTTCATATACATCCAAACTAACCCTGCGCCACTGACCGAGTATTTTAGCATGCAGTACACCCAGCAGGTTGTGTGCTGCAGACATTACCTCCAAAATAAGAGCCATCAGACAGCTTGTTGTCATTGCTTTTCTTGGTCAGGACACTGACGATACCGTGCTGGATGAAGTACATCTTCTTGCCGATGGTTCCCTCTCTGATGATGTAGTCGGCCGGCTGGAAAACCTCGAAGTGCAGTTTGGTCAGCATGGAGGTAACAAAGTTTGGATCGGCGTTGGCAAAAAGAGGCATGGAGGCCACTAGTTTGCGACAGTTAAAGTTGATGATCTCCTGCAGATGGACACAAAAGCGTGTTTTAGATTTCAAAGCAAGGCCTCGCATCCTAAATGGCTGTACAACTTCATGTGTACATTGCAACAATAATGAAAGTAGGGCGGTTAACGGCTTAGTTCTCCGTTAATAAGGTTATCGGACCTTATAAATGTCCAGCTAATGCTAATCAGATTACATGACTATTAACATCATCCTGCAAAGTAAGGGGGTCATATTAGATTTATTTAAAAAAAACAATTTATAGAAAACATGCTCACTTCATCAAAAAACGCAAGCCATTTTTAAGCCTTTTTAAGCTGTATGTACATATGTAGTATTTCTTTTTTGTAGCAGCCTCCATTTAAGGGCGCAAACAAAAGGATTTATAGTTGTTGACTAATATGTCAATTAACACTTGTATCTGCTGACATCTATGTCACATTGTTATAAAAAAGATTTATTTAAGATTTTAAACTGCTAATAAATTCTAATTATAAAAATGAAAAAGTAAAGAGTTAACAATCTTTCATTTAGTTGTGATACATATCAGCAGTTTTATTGTCACCAATACAGCAACAACATGCAGTCCGATGACTGCTTGCCTCTCTCAGTGGCTCATTCAGCTCCTCCAGAATGCTTTCCTCGTCAAACATCTTTCCCTGATAGCGATGTTCGTAGTATTCGTGGATCCTCTGCCGCATGTCGGCAGGGAGCTTGTGGAAGGACATGTACTGCTCCACCTGCTTATACTGCAACAACAAAACAATTATTACATTTAAGAAATACTAATAACAACAATACCAACACCACAAATGCAGATAATAATAGTAGTTATTAATTGCTTGAATAAGTATCAAAGTCAGGAACTGCAAGAGAAAATGCAGTCATGTCAGAATTTATATATTAATGTCATTGATGTGTTGGCTCAGAGGTGGACTATGCTGTGTCTCATTACATTAACAGTCACCTATCAGTGAAACCTGCCCACAGAGCGATGCTTTGCCTCCGTCCCATCTGACAAATGCGGTTGCACCGTGCAGGCTGCAGCTAATAACATTAACTACTGTGTCCTTCAGCGGTGTACTCGGCCAGCAAAGCATCACGAATGGCGTGTGTGAGTTATGTCCTGCTAGAAGTTGCTGTTTAACTGTTATCAACTAACTTTTTCACCAAGTGCCTCACATAAATACATTACATTACATCACATGTCATTTAGCTGATGCTTTTATCCAAAGCAACTTACAATAAGTGCATTCAACCATAGGGATACAAACTCAGAAGAACAAGAAACAAGAAAGCGCAATTTTGACAATTTACAATTTGCTATAGAGAAGTGTCGTTACAAGTACAATTTAAGTGCTACAATTTGTTAGTCTTTAGTCGAGGTAGAGTCTGAAGAGGTGTGTCTTTAGTTTGAATATGTGAAGGCTCTCTGCGGTCCTGGTGTCTTCAGAGAGCTCGTTCCACCATTTCGGAGCAAGGACAGCAAAGAGTCGTGATCTAGTTGAGTGTTTTGCTCTCAGTGAGGGAGGGACGAGCAGTTTTGCAGATGCAGAGTGGAGAGTGCGGGTCGGGATGTAGGGTTTGACCATGTCCTGGATGTAAGCTGGACCCGATCCATTCACAACATGGTACGTGAGCACCAATGTTTTGAACTGGATGCGGGCAGCCACCGGTAGCCAGTGAAGAGAGCGGGGGAGTGGAGTAGTGTGGGAAAATGGTTCAATGTTAAATGCCAAGAATTGTATGACAAGTGTGTTTATGTCTCACAATGCAACTCATCACTGTAACCATTTAAAGGTAAAACTAGAAGTGTGAGGCCCTCTGCCTGTATTTTCTCTTTTTTCTTCTTGTCTTTTTTTTCTGGGTGTCAGGAAAGAGAATTTGCGGGGGATGTAACCCTCAGCCAATAAGCAGGGTGTGCAACATGTTCTCATTCCAAGGTCAATCAGCGTCGCTGTGTCACGCGCCTGTGCTGACACAACCAATAGACACAGACACAGAGCAGACAGGCCACAGTGGGACAAAGCATGCAACCGGCTGCAATCATCCTAAAGTCCCCCCCCCGCCCCACCCCCCCGTGAACCATCAGAAAATAACGTTTTATTGTTATGATTCATGGCTTTGTTCTCAATAATGCCAGCCCCTCTCTTTGTTCACTCTTTAGATCACGCAACCACTACTCACACACACTCTCTTTCTCCCTCACTCACTCTCTTAAACAATTTAAATCAGTTAAGGGATAAATATTCAAATACTTAACTTAAGCACAACCAGACTTACCACTAGTAAAATAATTCCAAATCTACTTCAATCTTCAAAAGTATACGGACCATCAGATAACTGTACTGAAATTTAAGAAGAAGTTATGACCCGTGTTGCGGATGTGTTATTATGCATTAAATTATTGCATAATTAATATTGATGCATTCCTACATAAGCCAAATTGTACTGGTGTAGTGTGGACGGGTGAAGCTAATATGAAATTATTCATATTGTTGGCTAAATCTTTGAAATTAGCCTAAAAGGGCATTAGATCTTATAAAGTGTATTGTCTTTGGAAGGCCGAGAGCAAACACCAACCTTTTCCTGGTACTGCCTCCTGGAGGAGTCCAGAGACTGAATGAGGGAGGTCGCGTGCCCCACAAACATGGCAAAGCAGGTAGCGCCCACAATCATGCTGAGGATGGTGAGCCACACGTCGGCCATGCCGATGGGGGGGTACAGGCCGTACCCGATGCACAGCATGTGACTCATGGCCTTGAACAGGGCGTAGGAGTATTGCTGACCCCAGGTGTCATTCTGTAGAAGACGTAGAGGAGGAGGGAGAAATCAGCGGATCACTGGGAGCCTTTTTACAGTTTAAGATCAAATGATGACACCTCCATTGTCCAGGGTCTCGGCCTCCTGCACCTACAACAACACCTTACAAATTATCATTACAGGCTTGATGTATTCTTTGGTGTAAATCTATTTTAGCTTACAGCATACTTATTAATATACTCTGTACTTTCTTTCCTTTCTTTGGTTTACTGTAACGCCTGATGAAGAAAAGATTCACGCTATCATATTTGAGAGGCTGAAACCAATGTTTAAACAAATCAATGAATTGAATGATTGCATCTACAAGCACACAATGTAACATCATCATAGTACAACTCTATAGAAACAAATAGAGACAACTCTTTATTGTTTTTATTAAAGTATCTCATTATTAACCAATCAAAATATTGTTGTGAAGTTTTTAAGCAGCTACAGACTAGGTTTGAAAACTACAACAATTAAAAAAATATCCACAACAAATGATGCAAATTCATGACACAGGCACAGGATGTCATATATTTCCAACAGAGACCCACTTACTTATAACAGCAAAACAAGCACTGAAAAATAAACAAAAGGTTAGTGTTTTTGAGGGGACACCATCTACCACTTACCACCATCTTGTTTCTTGTGACCCAGCAGTCAGAAGGGAAGTCCTGCAGCATGGGTACCAGGAACTGCAGACAGCCGTCCCAGTGGCACAGCAGCAGCATCATACCAATCAGGTTCATGATGCGCACCATGGCGCTGGCCAGATCATAGGTCATATGGAAAACCTGTAACAGATATCAGTGTTAATAAAACTGAAAGAACAAATTAAAATTCTCTATCATGCAATCAGAGAATTGAAATGGACAATGGGTGCTTTGAGGACCTATTGTCACACCGGTCTCACATCGGACCACATTGTTTTTAATCTTCTGCAGATAACCAGAGGCAGTGTGATGTAATCATTTGCAAGCAACATTAATGGCCAATGGGGGCAGTCTCAGGTGGAATCACTGCATGAAAAGTGAGATTTTTGTCACCGTAAACGCCTGTAAATCTCCCTAATTTACGACAATTTACGACAATTTGCAACCCGCGGACGACGCGTTTGTCTGTGCCAAAAATTGTCGGAAACGAACCATGACGTAGGTGGAGAGCTGGCGGAGGTGTGAATGGCCCGATTTAGCAAATGAATGCAGCGAAACTGCGGGTGGCTGAGCCGAGTGGGCTTGAATATCCTTACTCCTTATTGGATGAAACCACAACTTACTAACAAATAAAATCACTCGTGATTGGCAGCAAAACCACACCTGGGCAGACCAGGCTTGAGTTTCCTCGTTCATGATTGGATGAAACCACAACTTTCAATCACTCGTGATTGGTTGGCAGATCTGTCGCTATTGGTCACCCGCCTCATTTTATTTATATATATTTATATATTCATATTATGCTGTATATTCATTTCATGGTTATCCTATGTAGGCTACTGCACTATTATTAGGATACCAACCAGGACATCAATGAATTTATAGAGAAAATGAACATTTGCCACATGTTTATGCAAAGAAAGAGCTTTATTAACAACACACAAACAACAACTACATACAAAGTGAGGATCTGCCCACACTTGGGTAAAGGCGGTTTAAAAAACTACAGCTCAGTAAACTGTCACTGGCGCCGTGTTGTTCAAGGCAAGTCGTTTGTGCAGGCGCCTAGTGTGTGCGGGGCTCTGTATTTCTGAGTCGCCTCTAACCGGGACTGCACTCAGAAATGGCGGCGACAGTGCAATCCATCCCGAGACCCCGCCAACAACGCCATCCTCTCCGTCCGACGTGAGCTCTATGGTGGCGGATTTCCAGAGTTCCACTTCGTCATCAGCCAGCACACTTTGTCTCGATTCCAGCAGCTGTAAAAACAACAATGAATCAGTACTGTGCGATGCGATGCGTACGGACACAACACATCTATTAATGCACCTGAAAAAAAGTCAGCAAATAAACTCTGACCCTCTTTCCTCTCACTCGACTCCGCGCTGAATTCTTCGCAGCTTCCGCCCGCAATGAGTGTTCCGGCTGGGAAAACATGAAGCTCCTGCGTACCGTCTCAAAATACGTCTCACAGGCGGCTGGAAAACAATTAAATGAGTGTGGTATGAATAAAAAAAATCAAACGCAAGTCACAGTGACATTTAACAAGGAAGGAGAAACAGTAAACAGTGTCACTTACACACAATGACGTCGTCTAAATCTGGACTTTTCCCGGAGCAAATACGAGGTCACCGCCTCATTATGAGGCGAGATTAGTCTGTGAAAAGAAAATGTAACAGTTATGATCGGTATCCAACCTATGTTATCTATACGTATATATTTCCTTATAGCGCAGAATGAAAGCATATTCTTTAAATCTTACCCTCGCTCCGGTTCGTGGCGCCTGTAATTCGTCTCAGAGTTGTGAAGACGGCGCACCGCTTCCTGTAAACAACACAGCAAAGAAAATACACTTTAATAAAGAGGTTTCTGCTCACTTGTAAGGCTACTAGGCTACTCTTAGCTTTCATTTTAGGCTACGCTACTTTTAGCTTAGCTCGCAGTCATCGAACGTATTCTTACCGCTATCTTGGGATTGTGCGCCCGTCTCCTCTTCTTTGAGTCAGTACCTCTAGAGCCGCCAACCTCTACTCTATGGACAGCAACCTGGAGCGTCCCGAACGCTCCAGTGGAGCGAACCGCTCGTTGATATCGGAAGTTTGTTGTTGGAGTTGACGAGACAATCCACTGAGAGCATTCAGCAGTTTCTTCTCGTCTGTCTGCGGACTGGCCGAAAGTTGCTGACCGCCGAGAGGAGTTGAAGGCGAGTTGAACGCGAGACGTCGTCCAGCCATTATTCCCGAACCAGAAAAAAACAAACAAAGGAACTGGAGATACAGTTCTTCTGAATATAGTAACACAAACGTGCCTGTTTGTATGCTCGTCTTGCAAGTACTGCTGTCTGAGTCATGCCTATGACCTCACACGTGATTGGACGAGGAGTCTAAGTGTCCTCCAATCACATACGAGGTTATTGTTATACGGAAGGACCAGTATTTTAGGAAGTAAAATGGTTTGGACTTTGTCGTGCAATGAAACAGCTGATATGCTTTATGTAAAGCAGTGTTTTGGTGTCAGCAGAACGACTTTCCCTAGAAAACTGTCTCCATTCCACTTTCTCCATTCCACCAAACACTCTTGGATGAGTCTGACAGACATGCAATGTTGACAATGTATCATCAGATGTACCATTGTGTCACTGAGGTTGAATGTTTTGCCATGACATGTAAACGGGTAACATATATGAATGTAACTTACTCAATTGATAGATGCAGAGCATAAAGGTCAGCATATGTTTATGCTAAGTGATGTGGAAACACTAACAGTTTTGAGGAACCCGTCCTTGACCCTCTAGCAGAATTACGACCAGCCATTATAAAGCAGTTTATAGTTGTTAATGTTGTGTCAAAGAGTACGGCATTTAAACATGTACTTGCTCAAGTTTCCTGGCTTCATCCCCACCCGGACAGACATTTTTATAGAAAGCCAATAGAAGTTTGGGGCTTGCAGACACGTCATACCCAGCATCATTTCTGCCAGTTGAGCGCATTGCTAGAAGATGTGTGGTTAATACATCCTCTGTGCATTTAAGTAAGACCAAAGAAAAGATCACTGTAGTCCTGCCACTATGCACTCTAGTTGAGCTCTAGGAGACTGATCTCTACAGACCCCTCATTCTGATTCAAATGTTGTTTGCATGGAATGCTCATTTTATCTTGATTAACACTAATTTTTTTAAGAAGTTATTTTGTGTATCTTTTTTACATAACATTTGCCATTGCTAATGGCGTACACAGTAATCTAGCATATTTGAATTAAATAAATCAATTCAAGCTAAAATGTAAGAGTCTATAATTAGGCTACTGAGCCTGATGTATTTGTACCAGAGATTTTCTTACCTTTTAAAAAAATGTCACCTGGGCTAAAACTCCCTCTGCGACCCTGATTTGCATTTGTATAGCTCACAGCATTTTCATTTACATGTCAAAGCCTCTCCTAGAATTAGGAGGAGGGGGGTCATGGGGGGACAACTGCCAAGGGAGGCAATTTCTGTCAATTTACGGCAAATTGCCGTGAACAGCCGCAAACCTCAAATTCCACAACAATTTACAGTGCCGCATACTGCCGAAAATCCCACTTTTCATGCAGTGAATTATAAAGGTAATTCAGAAAAGGTTGTTATGTCAGTTGGTTGTGTGTGAACCTCAGAGAGAAACCAACCACCGAAATCTACAGAAGATCTGTTTTTAAAACACGCAGGATTACGTATTTTCATTTAAATAAATGTAGTGATACAGACGAGATTACAATTTAGCACGAATCTCCCTAAGTATACCTCTTTAGTCAGAGGACCAACATATTTGGAGTGAGAAATGAATTGAGAATTTGGGGAATTTGTCCTGAACTTGCTGCTGATTCAATTCCCATTCACTGTTGCAGCTCAATTAGCTGGTTTAAAGCTGTGTAAATGAAGATGCACACAGCCTTTCCAAGCTCTACCTCTTCCCACTGGTGGATGTAGCGGATGAGCCTGGAGAGGCGCAGGAGCCGCAGCAGACTAAGGATCTTGGTGAACCGTACGATCCTCAGGGCCCGGGCCGTCTTGTAAAAGTCCGAGTTGATGCGTGTCTCAACAATGAGAAAGATGTAGTCCACTGGTATGGACGAGATGAAATCCACCACAAACCAGGTCTTCAAGTACTTGATCTTAATCTTATGCGGGTCGAGGATGATCTCCGCGTTGTTCTCCCTGACGATGCCCGTGCGGAAGTTGAGGACCAGGTCCATAAGGAAGAAGGTGTCTGAGACCACGTTAAAGACGATCCAGGGTGGCGTGTGCTCGTCCTTGAAGAAGGTGATGCCCACAGGAATGATGATGAGGTTCCCCACCATCAGCAGCAACATAGTCAGATCCCAGTAGAACCTGCAAAACACGGCCACACACGCATAACTCCATAAACCACCGGTTGATGGTCTAAAATCTGTTTGAAAATGCATTGATTAGTTTATGCATGAAATAATATGTTATTTTTGGGGTGTTTTTGGGGTGTTTTTTTGGCAATGGTGTGCTTTAACAGAGGTTAGAGCAGAAATCAAAACATGTCACAACTTTTACATTACATTACATGTAATTTAGCTGACACTTTTATCCAAAACGACTTACAATAAGTACATTCAACCATAGGGATACAAACTCAGAAGAACAAGAAAGCTAACGCTTCACTCAACCTCTAGTTAAATACTCCCTCATTAGTGGAAGCCGGCTATGGCAGCGCTGACGACTCCACCGTCGTTTAGAAGACAAAAGGTTGATTGGCCTCGGCAGAAACTCCTCAAAATGCAAAACATCAATCGCTTGACACCCTAATCAGCGATGGTGTTTTGACAAACTGAGAGTTTAAGGATTCAAGTCGTTTCTGCTTCTCAAATACAAGGTACAATTAACTATCGTTGTCCTTTAACGTCCACCAGGCTCCTTGGGTCATTTCTTGGACAAACTGGACATTCTGTCCAATTTCTCTGAAAATGGCCCTCCGCTCAACCTCCTGGGTGATTTCAACATCCAGAGACAGAAGTCATCTGACCTCCTACTCCTACTTTCTTCTTTTGCTCTGTCACTGAGTCCCTCTCCTCCTACTCACAAAGCCGGCAATTGCCTTGACTACATCTTCGCTAGAAACTGCTCTACCACTAACCTCTCTGTAACTCCACTTCATGTGTCTGACCACTTCTTCGTCTCTTACTCTCCTACTCTCCTACTCTCTATAACTAACGACCCTGCCCCATTGACTGACTCTGTACCTGTTCGTCGCAACATTCGCTCCCTCTCCACTAGCTCTCCCTTGAACTGACTCCTTCTTAGTCTTGCATCTGAACGCTGCTGCAGAGACTCTCCTCTCAACTCTTTCCTCCTCTCTCGACTCTCTCTGCCCTCTTACGACCCGATGGACTGGCAAATCCCCTCCGGCTCTGTCTCAACCGGTGCATGCCATGAGAGCCACCATGCGAGCATCGGAAAGGAGATGGCGTAAATATAAATGACCTGATGACCTGCTTCAATTTCAATCTCTTCTCTTTTCTGCTTCTATTGCTGCAGCCAAAAGCTCTTTCTACCAATGCAGAATGGAATCTTCATTTTCTAACCCCCAAAAACTCTTTTCGATCTTCTCCAACCTCCTCGAACCCCCTAGTCCTTCTCCCCCCTCCACCCTTCTTCCGGGAGACTGTCAATGTAACTAAAACTAAGAAGTATTAAAATGACTAAATTTGACTATGCATTTGTCAATATGCATTTTTCGTCTTAAGACTAAGACTAAATCAAAAATAGCTGCCAAATTAACACTGCTCCGTGCTAACGCCCACTTTGACTGCTAGGAACCTCGGGCGTCACACTCGACAGCCAACTTTCCCTGACTCCCAACATCACTGCGACCACACGATCTTGTAGATGCACACTCTACAACATCAGGAGAATACGTCCCCTTCTCACTCAGAAGGCGGCGCAGATACTGATTCAGGCTCTTGTCATCTCCCGCCTGAACTAGTGCAACTCCCTCCTGGCAGGTCTCCCTGCTACCGCCATTAGACCTCTGCAGCTCATCCAGAATGCAGCAGCTTGACTCATCTTTAACCTTCCGAAATTCACTGGTTACCAGTGGCTGCCCGCATCCAGTTTAAAACATTGGTGCTCACGTACCATGCTGTGAATGGATTGGGTCCAGCTTACATCCAGGACATGGTCAACGCTACATCCCGACCCGCACTCTCCACTCTGCATCTGCAAAACTGCTCCCTCACTGAGAGCAAAACACTCGACTAGATCACAACTCTTTGTGGTCCTTGCTCCTAAATGGTGGAACGAGCTCTCTGAAGACACCAGGACCGCAGAGAGCCTTCACATCTTCCACCGCAAACTAAAGACACACCTCTTCAGACTCTACCTCGACTAAAAGACCAACAAATTGTAGCACTTACATTACACTTGTAACGCCACTTATCTATAGCAAATTGTAAATTGGCGAAATTGCACTTTCTTGTTTCTTGTTCTTCTGAGTTTGTATCCCTATGGTTCAATGCACTTATTGTAAGTCGCTTTGGATAAAAGCGTCAACTAAATGACATGTAATGTAATGTAGTGTAAAGTAAATGTCTGTGCAACATGTGGTCGAATACTCAAACTCAAACTCCACTAGATTTAAGTAGATATAGATTGTTCAAATGAGAAGAAGCAATGCAAACAATCAGTTTGAGCATACGCATTAACAAAGGAGGAAATTAGTTAATAATAGAAAATCTTATTCAGTTCAATACTGGGTTCCTGGATGCAAGGGTCGAGAGGGAAATGGGAAATTGGTATTCATCTGAATTGCTCATGAGGGAATATTGTTTTTCACAACTAACCTAATCATCAAGTACCAGCGGCAATGTTCCCTTTTATCTGAAATTTGCTTGTAAAAGGAGGATGTAATGAAATTACTGCAAAAATTACTGCAAAATTGTTTCATTCGAATTCATAGCTCTACTAACCAACGGTGCCAATATTGGTCAAAAATATTCATTTCTAGCTGTTTTAAATAACTATTGAGATATTTGTTTCTTAAAATTTTTCATTTCAGCACCCAATTTGTAACAGAGAAAGATATCAGAGTGCTTTATAATTCACAGGAAGCATATGGCAATGAGCAGCTTGGTGAAACAGGCTAAAGCCAAGCTGTGCAGTGTTTTCTTTACACAAAGCTTGACAGGAGAGCATCATAAAAAAAGAGGGAACCAGTGATCACATTATGGCCCATTGTTCTTATCATATTTCTGTTGTTCTTTGCCAAACAAAGCATTTGTGTTCCTCTCTTCATCTGCCTGACACACTGGTCCTGATTGCACTTTCCCTCTCTCACCAAATCCGCGTTATCTCCTGGGAATCCATGTCATCTCCAGAAGTCAACTCCCATCAGCCAGATGTTGAGTAGTTAGCATTACTGCTCTGCACACGTCATCGTGCTGCAGAACCCCGGAACAGCTGGACCACATTATAAAAAAGAAGGTCTACAGGAGACCATGCATTACCGCCTCTGCAGACAATTTCCGTTTGCTGACTGTGACCTTTTGACTGTGCACACGGCGTTCAGGCCACAAAGATCAACGTGCTAATGCAATCTGGTGCTGCCATCAAAATAAAGGTCACAGTTATGAGGTCTCAAGATCTCTGCTGGTTCAAAAATAAATCTTGCACTATTTGGGTCAGAGTGCAACTATGCTAAAGAGCATGAGAGCACAAAGAGCGGAATAACGAGCAAAGTGAACACAAAAAGGCTTAAAATGGGGAAAGGAGCTTAGATCAATCAGGACAGCTAAAAAGGGATCACATTTGTACTAGAGATAATATATGGAAGTAAATCTGTGTCATCGGATTTTGAAAGAAAAAGGTGATTTTCTAGCACTGAATATTTATGCATTGAAATCATGTATCTGAATGTTTTTCAACGTTAAAATATTCAACTGCAAAAAATTCAACTGCAAAAAATTTGAACCGCCAATAATTCAACGTTAAAATATTGAACTGCAAAAAATTCAACCGCAAAAAATTCAACGCAAAAATTCAATGCAAAAATTCAACTGCAAAAAATGCAACATCCGGGAACCCAAGGAAGAGCAATCGATTCTAAATTCAAGATTGGGAGCGTGTCACGCAGAATGAGCGAGCGCCCCAATGCAACTTCAGCTTGTCGACTATGATGACCGAATTTCAGCCAGTCGGGGTTATGCGTCTGCACACGCTCCGCTAAAGCTCCCCCCCACCACGCTGCAGCGGCTCATATGCTCTACAAGCGCGTTCCTGGTTCCAAAACTCCGCCAATCACTCCTAATAGTTTGTCGAAGCATCCCAGCATCATTAATTCAAAACTAGAAGAAAATCCGTATTCTGATGAGCTGTACGCTCTCGTTTAACTTCGGCTTAGTTCATGTCGTATATAGTTATAGTTATAGTTATGTTTATGTACAAATGTCAGCTGTCTATTACTGAATCTTACAGACACAAACCACACTGATGGTATAAAGTTAAAACACTCAACGAAGCCCCATTATTAATGGACATGGCTAAAATCCGGTCATCAGTCGACAAGCCAAAAGTTGTATTTTGCGCGACGCACGCTCCCGATCTTGAATCTAGAATCAATTGCTCCGTTCCTTTTTGCGTTGAATTTTTTGCGGGTGAATTTTTTGCAGTTGAATACTTTAACGTTGAATTATTTGCGGGTGAATTTTTTGCAGTTGAATATTTTAACATTGAATTTTTTGCGGGTGAATTTTTTGCAGTTGAATATTTTGAAAACCATTAAGATACATGATTTCAATTCAAATTCAATCACCTTTTTCTTTCAAAATCCAATGTCACAGATTTACTTGCATAATAATATCTCTTGATGCTAGAGAGCAGCTGAAGCACAACAGCCGGCATAAAGCTCATTGGCTTAACACACACCTGCACTGTGGCTCAGGCCTACCAGCAATCATATTAACCATATTTACGTGGCGCGCCAGTTCAGTATGTCTGCTGCTGTATTCACGGGCGTCTTTACTAAAAGAGAGCAGTGGCTTCTGCTTCAAACAACAGATTTTAGAAAGGATGCAAGGAGAGAGGTTTGGTTTGCTGAGCTGATGCACAGTGGTCATGGAAAAAGTGATGGCAGTGGTGATCGGATCCAACAGTTTCTCAGAAGCTAAAAAGATGTAACAGCTGGATGTCCTGATTCCTCTCAACATTATTTTCATTCGAGCCTCTCTCTGTGTTTTGAGTGTTTTGTTGTGTCCCCTCCCCGTCCACACCATCTCTGCTCCATTAGACTAATTGTACTGTAATAATCTCCACTGATGTGTGCTGCTAATATCTCTAATGGTCATGTTACCCCCTTTTGATTAGCCCATTTCCAAGCCCCTGCTGCACTCTCTGTAATCCATTGCTCTCGCTCAATGACCAGAAAAAAAGTGTAATTCAAATGAGTGTAAAAAAAAACTGCAGGGACACACATCGGCATATAACTGGCCGGTGAAAATCTGATGACAGAGAGCCTCATGGTGTCATATGTCAGGAAAATCGCTTGATGGCGGTGATGAACAGAATGCTGGTTTACATGCAGCGTCCGGTGAAATAACGTGCGTGTAATCACGGCACTGTGTGTCTGTTAAATTAGAAAATACAGGTTGAAATTATTCTATTACTCTATCGAGACAACTTTTTGGTAGATTACAATGACATGCACTACTATACTTGGAATGAAATTGTTTTCACTCACAGGCTAATCAAAAGATAGATTTATATATAGTTATATATATAAAAATTGGCTTTCACTGTGCTAATAAAAGATTTTCCATACCAGTCAACCGTTTTAACGTTAGATCAGATGTTTCCCTGTAAGAATTACTTGTATGTGCACTTTTAGAAAAATATATTTTTGTTAGAAATGAAGCCATTCATCTAATCGCGGTGTATGGATTACCGAGGCATATTTGGCTTATGACAGGCTATCACACCTGATTATTACGTTATTGTCACAGTGATGGAAGAAAAGAAAAAAACACTAATGGGGATCAGTGTGTGTATATGATATGAAAGTTATAGTGATCATAGCTGATGGCATGTTATGTCTCGTCCTGATTTTCTGTTCTAAAATGACCCCTTATTCTACATTTCTATGTCAAGCACGCCTAAAAAAAAGGTGTGACAGGATCACTCTTCGCTTTTTTTTCCTTCCAAGTCTGACTGTTTTTTAAAGAAAAGAGGTTTCCTGCACAACAAATTACCTAAAATCACTGTACGGGTGGATTATCCAGAAGCCGGCAGACTTCACCCGCTCCCTCTCATGCTCCACGGCCCTCTCACTCCCCAACATCCGCAGGGAGAACTTGTTGACACCCGGTTGGAGCATCGCCCCAAACTGCCGGTGCATGAAGCCGGCTTGGTACAGCCGTTCGTCCTCGGGTACGATTTGCTCGGTGCCTTCCAACTTAATAAAACTTGACTGGTCAAACACAGAGCCGTGGCCGGCTGCGCCACTCAGACCCCCCGCTGCCCACTGCTGGGCCCCGGGGCTGTTCTCACCGGGGTAACTCTCTCTGACGCCCGCCTCGGGGATGAGGCGCTGCTGCTCCGCCGGATCTGACCCTGCAGGATGCCGCCCGGTGATGGAAGAGACGCTGCCCCGAAATAAGCGAAAGTCCCCGTTCAAGTTAGTCTTAACATTCTTCTCGCTCCTGGCCTCCTCGCCACTCTTGCAACTGGACGCAGGTGAGGGCAAATGTTTTAGCCGAATACTTTTTCTCTTAGTGTCCTTGTCTTCGTTGTCCCCTTCGTCCACCGCGATGGCTTTTTGCCCAATGTTTTGCGGCAAGTTGTACAGCCGTTTGCGCATGGACGACTGGAATCTTTCCATTCTGAAGAAGGAGAAGAGACGCGCTCTAAAGACAGCCCCTGGAAACAGATGGATGAATCCTAAATCTCGTGAGGGTTGCCACCGGAGGCAAACAGTGACGGCGCATCTGCAGGACAGGTTGGATCTGATTTGACGTTGGATCTGACGTGCCTCCCTCCCCGAGTTCAAACATCGAGATGCGTCAACGACATACGCGGCCGCTTCTCGGTCCGAAGGTCACGTTGAAGCCGCCAGCGGGAAATGCGTGTGCGTCCAGCTGAAGCCACGTCGTGCAGACGGGACGCGTGTCGGGATGCTGCATGCTGAGCGTCGGACGTGCCGAAGTGTGAGAGCGCTGCCGCCGAGGTCCTTAATGACAAAGCTGATCTCCACCTCCCCTAAATATCCACGCTCTCTGTCAGCCCAAGGGGATGACACGCGTGCACGAAGCCCGCACCGGCGTTCAGAGAGCGCTGACATCACTGATCCAGCTTCCTAATAGCGAGAATATTAATGGGGTCGATCCCTCGGGTTGCCATAAGAGCCTGGACGGTTACACGCGCTCACCCCGCCCGGTCGGGACAGCTGGAAGAGGAGGATTCAAGGATGTCAGCCAGCCTTGGAGTTGGTTCACTAGCCAGAGAATAAAGTCAGCTCTTTGTGTTAGAACGTGTTTTTCTGTATTTTCTATAATGTAGGTGTGGCACCCTGGACATTTTTAAGGACTTCCATTGTTTCTTTGAATTGCATTGTTTAGTGCCAATCCCCTGTCATTGTGTTTGTTTTGATTATTGTGTAAAGAAATCCTTCGTGTGACTTTTTGAGCCTGCCTCCTTCCCCCTGCAGTGGCAGTGGGGCAGCACTCGTTTCCGCCAGCAGGTGGCGGTAGCGGGTTTAGTAGGCCTGACGGGCGCTGTAACACTTGCGCAGAGCGCATATGCATATGCAAGTGACTCCGCGTCGGGAAGTACAAACAGTGTTCTGATTCTGATTGTTGCTGACAGTCTGTTGTTATTGCAGGTGAGCAAATGTATATGTATGCCTGTATGCAAATGTGTAGGTATGTTAAGTTCGCCCGTTTTGGTGATTGCATGTTTTAATGTCCAGTATTTAAATGTATTATTTCGGCGAAGGATAATTAACTAGCGTAGTTAGCATTCTGAGATTTTCGTGCGCTAGTGTTTAGCGCCACTGCGCCGGTTTTGTATGTTCATAACTTGTGCAGAGCAAGTGACTCCGCGTCGAGAAGTACAGACAGTCGTTCTGATTCTGATTGTTGCTGACTGTCTGTTGTCATTGCAGAATAAAACACACCTGAACGGAGCCTGTTGCAGTGTGTGTGTAACATAAGCGAGCAATAGGTTTTCATTGGTTATTGTGCTACGCTTTGAAAACACAATGTGATACAACAAAAGCAGTCAATCAAGAATTGTGGTCATCAATAGTTGCAGAACGTTTCATAAATTAGGCTTCCTCTGTTGCAACAAACTTAATTAGAGGTAAAAGTGTAGACTACGACATGAAAAAGGGTATTTAATCAAATTAACATGGTTAATTCACCTCTGATCTGCAAACTGCCGGACTGACCTGACTTTAGTTTAGTTTATTTTATTTTATTTAACTTAATAATTTAATATTTTTTATCTTATTATATCGTATATAATGTGTATACAATGTGTATCTTTTAATTCTATTTTCTTCCCTGTACATGCTGCTGTGATACCAAAATGTCCCCTTGAGGGATCAATAAAGTATCAATCTATCTATCTATCTATCTATATATGGAAAACCAATGATTCTGCTACCATCAAATCAGTCTCTTCTTAAATAGTTTTTTGGGGGGTGGCGAGTCCTTTTGCAAGTTGAGGGGCCTCAAAATAGCTTCCTTCAATAAATTCAGGATCCAGTTACTTGGTTTCTTCTTGTTTTAATTGTGGTACATTATATACATTATATCATTTTTAACAGTCAACAAAATATGTGACTCCCTCTCTCACCCCCTCTCCTTTCATTTCCCCAAACTAAACTGTGGATACACCTTTATCCCCACTGATAGCAAACACGACGTGACTCAATTAACTTAAAGAAAAGAAAAGGGGCATACCAGATGGCACCAACAATACCTGGCTCCTACAAAGGGTTTGTGGAAACACACAACCAAAAAGTACTTTACCTGCCAATACTGCCTTTCTGCAGTGACCTACAGCAGAGAGACAGCTGACATTTTTGTGGTCTCGCATTTGGGTACGAAGAAAAGTCTCCATAGCGCCCCCTATAAAGTTGAAAAGTACCACACTAGGCCAGTTTTTCCCCCCGATGCCCGATTGACTTGAATGACGCTAACATTCCACTAGCTAGCATTGTACTAGTAATAGCAGGATCTAACTGCTGACAGGTGGCTGTAACAGCCAGAGAAAATCGAGGGGGGGGCACAATTCGGCCAACAGTGGGTGGGGCAAGGCACGGACGTTATGGCGGGGGGGCGGGGCTACAACCTGGGGCGGGGCGACGATACGGCCGATGGGGGGGACGTGAAGGCATGGCGGTAGCTAGAATTGCACTAGTAACAGGACCCAACTGCTGACACATGGATAAAACAGACAGAGAAAAATGGGTCATGTCTTTAGGTTGCTAGCTAACCTTTGTGGCTAGCCTTCACTTACCTTCTTGGCCGTTTCATGCACAGGCACCTGCGGGCAGGCTAGTGTTAAGGGTTTGGAAAGCCCTCAAGGGAGGCCTCACTCCTTTGTTCTCGTCCCGGCCGGAAAACGAGGAATCAAAAGAGTCCATTTACTCAAATTTAAAAAATCAAAAAAGTATTTAATAGATTGGATTTTATGGCTCCAAGATTCCTCCTTGTTGTTTTAGGGAGGGCTGCTTACTCCTTCCTCAACGACGAGTCGCCATCACCTTTTGACCTCTGCATCTCCTTCAAAATGCAGCCTTTCAGACTCGTCCCTAATTCACTCCCAGTCATCATTTGTTCCCTAATGATATTAGGACAACATAAAGCCTATAAAGCTAAACACACATACATACCTACTACACTACTACAACTGAAGTAATTAGCACCTGTATGACACTCATAAATGTTGCTTTCTTAGGAAAGATCTTTGTTCTTGCTGTTCTGGTTCGGTTCCCTCTTGTTCAAATTCACTTACTGCAAGTCTCTTTGGATTAGAGCCTCAGCTGAATGAAATATGTAATGCATTAACGTAAAGGATGCCTCTGCATATCTTTATCTGCACCTACAGTATTTACCTATTGTTTTGAAAAATTGCCTTTCTCAAACGGCCTTGTTTCCAACCAATTTGAGGAGCAATTCATTTATAAAAATTGAAATCTCCGACATAGATGATTATTGACAACCCATAGTCAAATCAGAAGAAATTAACACAAATGTTGCCTTAATTCCCCGTTCAATGTTCTCTTTGAGTTTTTGCTTGTAGGCCTCATGGTGTTGTATGACTGTTCCGTCAACTATTTGACCAACCAAGTTCCCTTTGTTCATTCTAATCTTGAAGTAATAGATCTGCTCACACCGAGATCACACAAAAATATTATCTCACATTCTCACCCTTACCGTCAATTCTTTCTCCTTTTGCATTCATCCTGTTTGCTCTGTCATGATGTGTCGTCACCTTTAGAAACCGGTGCATTACTGCATAACTCTTCAAACTCTTTTCCCATCTTTACACTTCAACTTACCCTCGGTCATACTTTCAAACATCTGTGTCTTTCATAACATTTCAACTTCCTTTTCTCTTCTTTGCTTACTTCCCCATTCCTTTCCCATCAAAATAAACCATCCGATGGCCTCACTGAAGGCCTCCATCATTACAGTCAATTTGCTGACCTTTGTAACTACTTTCACAAGTGTATGAGCATTTGCAGTATCAGTCACTAAAACCTACAGCTTCAAACAATGCATCGGAATTTGAACCTCAACCCCGGTGATATAAATAAAAGGTTCTCCAAACACTTTGGGGTCATAAGACAAGTTCCTTGATCTTAAAAAGTACCAGGAGATAATAAATCAACTTAGCATCAGACCGTTCGTAATGAAACATACAATATTTCTCTCTTTCATTCTCTCCCTCTCTCCCTTTCTCTTCCTCTTCTTCGTTCTTCTCCTCTTTCGTTCTCCTCCTCTCTTTCCATTCCTCCCCCTCTCCCTTCATCACGGGGGTCGACGTGGTGCAGGGGTAGAGAGAGTGCACTGGGAACCACAAGGTTGGTGGTTTGACTCCCGGCTGCCCAATGTCCCATGAAGTGTCCCTGAGCAATACACCTAATTGCTTCACGGGCAAAAATGTAATAAGCCATGGTTTAATAATGCGTACCCAAATATACTATGATTTGTCTTTCACACAGAACTGACATTTCCTTGGTTAACAGTTTAAAACCGAGCTATTCGATTAACACAGCGAGGTCCATTTAGAATAAAAGCGTCAGCTTAATGATCTGTAATGTAATGTAATAATCACCATTCCACCCTTCCTCAACCTCGCCCCCTTTCTCTCTTCCTCCCTCTCTTTCACCTTTGCCCTCTCTAGTGTGCTCTCTCTTTCTCCCCTCCCCAATGCCAACATTTCAAAATATAACCCCCCTGTTTTGTGAAAATACTTATTTCTCTTTCAAATACTACTACAACTACTACTAATATCACCAGTTCAACTAGTAGTACTACATCAACTGATACTGCTACTACCATTACTAATACTACTACTAGTATTTCAACTGATATTAATACTAAATGACACTGGCAGTGGCACTGCATGTTCTGTCCCCATCAGCACATTAGTTCACTTAAATGTTTTGTTTTTCTCTCATTGCTGGCAGTAGTCGTTTTACATGTGTGTGTTCCTTTAAGAACTGTGGGACCGTTGCACCGTGGGATTTAGTCAGGAAGTTGAATGTGATCAGGACAGCCTCACGTTTTGTGTTATCTCTCCATACTATCCACGTCAATCTTCCACGCTCCATGCCTTTGGCAGCATTCAATATGTAAAATAGATGCCGACATGCTGTTCTTGTATATTTGTCAGTATTGTCAGTATGTTTGATGTACATATTGGGCTGAGAATGTGCTTTAGTGGGCCGGTTCGCCTCTCGGTTATCATGGGTTGTGCAACATGTAGGTATGTTTGGGTTTATTTGGATAAACAACGTGGGTTATATTATGTACATTGTATAGCAATGCATTACGTATTTCCTTTGTTTCGGCTTTTATGTTAGCTACTGTGTGTGCTACCGCATTTCATTGGTATGTAGTTATATTGTTTTTACGACTGCCATTATATAATATTTGCGACTCCTTAATATGTAAGTAACAGGTAATCTTGTTTCATTTCCCAGTTTCACCCTTTCTAGTCAAATAAACAAAGTTAACACGATCCCAGTCTCCAGTGTTTGATGGTGGAAGGTGTTTAGCTGCTGGTCAGATTGCACAGGGTTACGTGCATGCAGGACGAGACACTACAACTGATAGTACTACTCTTACTACTATAAAAAGT